CTAAAATTATTATTATTTTCTTTAACCAGTATTGAATTTCTTTTTAATTTGCTTGGATTGACCTGTACGTCGGACTGTACGCGCGCAATGTATGCTGGTCGAAAATCGGCAATTAAAATTCCACTTCCGGTGAAAACAATAGCGAGGAGTCGTGACATAAGCAGTAGAACTAAAATATTGCGCAACACGGTTTCCACAGTAGAATTGATAAGGAAGCTCGTGCGAGTCGAGTAGCAATAGTTTGGACGATGTTTTTTTAGTAGAGAGCGACTCGAATGCCTTAAACTTATACGATAGCGATGGGGATAATCCAGAACCCTATGGAGAGTCCGAGCCACGTCCCTATCAATATACCGTATTTTCTCGATAAAAAGCCCCCGGCGTTTCATTAAAAATCGGCATCGTTAACCCGGCGTTTTTCGAGGCCGGCGTTTAATCCGGGTCCGGCGTTTATTAATGAAAGGCAATTTTCTGCGATTTTTCTAGGTTGATTTATTATTACCGATCCTTGGAAACCTAAGGGCGGTTTGTCAGTGCTGGAAAGTTACAGTATTATGTAACCGTACATGCGGCGCGTGTAACATGTTGCAATCAAGATCTGCATCACTAACAAACAGCACATAAACAATATATGAATGATGTAGAACAAGTAGTAATTGATACGAATGCAAAGGTTTAAGTTTATAAACGGCAATGTCGCCAACGTCAGCCTTCAAGAGGTTACTATTTACTTGTAATAGGTCCTTGTGACCTCGACCCCGACGCCGGGGCCCCGATTAAACGCCTCCGGCGTTTAAATAAAAATCGGCAGTTTTGACCCGGCGTTTTTTCGAGGCCGGCGTTTAATCGAGAAAATACGATAAGATCCTCGCAGAGAGCGCTATTTATACAATAGCGAAAATCTGACTTGAAAAAAATCAGGCCTGTACAGGATTCGAACCACTGACCTCTGCGATACTAGTGCAGAGCTCTAGCAATTGAGCTAACAAGCCAACTGGTAGCAGGCCGTTAAGTTGATTCGTAATAAACCCGTGATGATAAATCAGATACAATGAATATATGAAGTTCATATATTTTGAACTGCGGTATTAGATACGTATGATGCTATTGCATAAATAGCGCTCTCTACTGCGAATAAATTAGTGGAATGAAATTCGTGTTTTTCTCGTTGCCATGTTCCCACCAATAACGTAGCTCCATTTTCTGCCCTTAAAAGCACACACAACCCACAGTTCCTCTATTCGCTCCGACGAAGGGCTAACGCTCGAAACGTCAGCTTTTGTAATCGTTACAGTGGCCAATTTACCATTTCAACTTTGTTGATATATCCAAATTATTTCGTTACTCCCAACCGACGCAGCCCCAAACAGTTTCCGTTCGAAACTATCAGCCTTTATTCATTTGTGAAACGATGACACGTTACAGGAAAAGAGCTTAATCGTGTGGGCAAACTATAAACATCTTTGCAACTATATTGTTGAGCAAGACGTATGGTCCACAAACAGACACTCAAATTTTCAGTTATTGTAAATTATCTGAAAAACTAAGTCGGTTACCTACCATTTTAGTTTCTTTGATCNCTCTTAAATTGTATTCGTTTGCCACGTTGAGCTCGTGGTCTTAAGATTTCGTGATTGAATTTGATATTTCACTGAATTTAGAACTGTTTCAGAAAGAGCAAGCCAAAATAATATTACATTTTACACATGTAAATATAATTAGCCTTTCTGGCCTTGTCAACATTAAAGAACAACAAAAACAAAAACAAAAACGAACAAGTCTTAACCGGCATGCATTTAAAAGAACAATATACATGGTTATCCGCTGAAAGAGGTTTTACCTCTCTTTAGACGGTCGCCTAGCCACGGAAGTTGCGATGAATTTAAGTCAACTAACAGACTGGAATGTACTCAATATCTTCTTTTAATCAGGCAGAAGAGAAAACTTTTCATCCATAGTAACGCTTAACAATAAGCTAGCCTGGAGCACGTTATGGTAATAAATATATTTTTTCCAAGATAAACTAACTGGTCAATAAATAATTCGGAAAGTCTATGTGTAGTGAAAGATGAATCTCCTCCAACATTTGGTGATCAATTAACGTAGGAGTGTGACGATAAAATTTCTACATTCGCGTGAATTTACAAGATAAGCTTCCCTGTCCTTGAAGAACAACGACATCACATAGTGATACTATATTTTACCTTAATTCTGTCATGCTGCACTTGCAGCTTGTTGAACATCATTACTAGCTATTACGTTACAGTTTTCTTTTTTTTAATGTTAAACTCTGTGACGAATTTGATTAACTCTAGTGCCTATATTAAAAAATAGCGAACTGTTGCATCATGTACAAACACTTACAACATGTTAGTATGCATAGGTTGACATTATACTGCGCATGAGCAGCCCTTGATTACGCATCTTTTGCCTTTTATACCATTGACAACTGTATATTTGTTTTTGCACTTGGCTGCAACATTATTCGCCGATAAACAAGCCACGCTGTGTGTTTTGCATTTAGGGACAGAGATATACCTTCCGAGGCACTTGTTGTAACTTCTTGTTCTGCTTTCCACGCAGTAATTTGCATTGCGTTTGAAGCGCTGCAGTACAGAAAGGAACTTGCTTTGGCCATCCTCGGCAGGTTCGCCTTGAGGCGACTCTGTCTTTGAAATAGTTTTGTGACCTTCTAGTTTTCTTTCTTTTGGGAGATCATTCAGGACATCGGATAATGACGAACCTTGTGGCGATTGATCCATAGGAAAAGACTTTGAATGCGCGACAGGGATGATGATGCTCTGCATCAAGAAATAAACAGCGACCTGAAATAAAAAATGCCAGAGTTCAATAAACATCGGTAATGTTTCACATTCAACACTTTTTGCTAGTGTTGGCCTTTTGAACTTAATTATTGCTAGCTTTTCAGTACGAGAGTTCTGTCTTTGGCTCCTGGTGAGAGAATCTGCGGTTTACATTTAAGACTAAAACATTTTAGGATCACTATTTGCAGGGTTTTTTTTAATATATTTTTTTAGCTAGCCCAAAATGCGAACATTCCTACCGAAAAACCAAGGTAAGTCTTAGGTCTATACATAAGTTTTTATCCACCAAATTGCGAAATGGTTCCTTTGTTACAGAGCAACATATCAAGGAAGTTTTCGTGAAGAAATCGAAATGACCGGTTAATTTTAGGTCAGGGTCAAGTGTGTTCGTCTGTCTGTTAATTCAGTATCTAATCAGTCGACGTGCTTTTATTTGGCATTGCTTTCTTAACTGAGGATAAATGTATGTGTTGATAGATCACTTAGGTATCAATAACATTGAGAAATCATCGCTTTAAGAACTGTCAATTGGCACGTTATTCACATGTTTGAGTTTTGAGTCATGCTTGTTGGACTTCTTTGATTCTTCGGGTGTTGAATAAAAATCGAAGTAATCAAGGACATTACAAGCACGTTAATCCAATAACGAATAATGCTAAATTGTAGTGCAATTGAATTCAACATCTTGCTGACCACGAAAAATAATGAAATAATCTGTGATTTGTCGGGTTTATTTAACAGAGTGATGGTTAAAAAGTCCTCTGAAAATCTTTTGCCAATACCGTTTTTTTTTGCTACCAGACACTCTAAGGATTGGAATTGGATCTCTTCCATTCACTGTTTTTTCCTTCTGTTTTGATTTTAGATAAATACTACATGCTCAAGTTGAGTGTCAAGGCAGTTTTTCTAATCCATTTTTCCTTCTTTCTACAAAGCAGTGTATACTGAGTATCAGCTGATAGTTACTGAGTATCGGCTGATAGTTACTGAGTATCGGCTGATAGTTTCTGAGTATCGCAGGATGGGATGCGAAGTCATGAAACTCTACAATTATCAACTCATGACAATTGATCGAACGACATGATTTTAGTTTATAGCGAGCACTTTTCCGTCATCCGTCGAAACTTCTTATAATGCTCATGTTATCAAATGCACTAGGATTTCAGACAACGAAGAAGAAAATGGTAGAACAAAAAACTTACCTTGATAATTGTGCTTTCCATCGGGATATCGTTTCTTCTTTCTCTATCGTGTGATACTTAAAGGTCGAGCTTTATCGGCGTCAACTTCAACTTTTAGATTTGCAGTTATTCAGTTCATGGTCCACTCAAAGAAGCCAGCGTTTATATAACACGATCAAGGAAAACCCTTCCACTCGGGAGATTACACCACTTTTCTAAATTTAGATTTATTGTAATATCAATTAAATCAATTTGTTTCCTTTGCGCTCCATGATGCGGAAAAAAACTTAAACCATATCCACACCTTTTTTAATTTAAGTGATTTGGACTGCCGGAATGCTAGATTGAGGGACTAAGGGAAAGGTCTTTCAAATCTTATTAGAGATGAAATTCAAATCCTTTTAACTAAATATCGCCTCATCTAATCTTGTGAGTATATTAGCAAGTCGAATAATAACATCGATCAAAATACACACCATATTTCAGATGGGAAAAAGAAACAATGCTCTACTTGTTTGCATCCACGGTTTATTCTTTCGCTGAATTTTAGGTGCGACATTTAATACCTTTATGCCTTTCGTAACTGATGCAATATTCAAAATAATTGCAGCTCTATACCTGTTTCACCAGAGTGTCTTTCGGCTCTAGGTTTGGGGAATACGCTAAAGCTGCATATATTATAGTGACGTATTTCCGTTGAAGCGACACTTCCTAAACACCAACTGAAAGATTCCATTTCATTCATATCACTTTGATAAACAGCCGAATCGCAGCCTTTCTCTGCCTGATTTCAGCCGGGAACATTTCACTACGTTTTCTATCGATAGGAAGTTCTTGAAGAACTGATTTTCAATATTAAAGACCAAGGTCACCCAAATGTCGCGCGAAGTTGACTGAAAAGCACTTAAATTAAGTTTGTTTTACGTTTTGACAATAGCCATGCAGTTGTAATTTTCAGGCTTTCCCAGGCTAGTAAGGAGGCCATATCGAAGTTGCAAATCTGGCACCCTTTTCTGTTATCCTAAGACCAATATGTAGTTAAGAAATCGTTAACAAAACAGATAGATTTTTGGGGAAGATTGGGTCAAATCTTCCTACTGGTAACCTTTTCTCTGAAAAGCTCAAGTAAGTTTGGGTAATAATACCCGTGGGCTGCGGAAATGACATATCTGCCTGGTTATAAATAACAGTAGTATATAAATCTCGAGTGAGAAGGGAGTCGGAGTTACTCATTTGTTTTACAGTTGGAAACAGAGGTTATGGAGCAATAACTTCCCCTGGAGAATCACAAGGCATTTAGGCGGTTCTCTATCAGGAAGATTACATGATTATTCTTGTCCTTACCAAAACATTGCGATTAGCCACCACTGACTGTTAGGCAAAGGGGCATTCTTGATCATTGTGCATAATCGACATAAAACAGAGAGAAGCCAGATCAGCAGAACAGTTAACGGCTGACAGGACATATTTGCAAGAGTCCCCTGAGAAAAGTAATTAAGATTTTCCTAATTTTTAGCTTTCGGAATGCTGAGTTAGGATTAACTACCTTCGGATTGCTAAACGAATTTCATTTCTTTCAGGTGTTTTATGTTTATCAATACTGTAATCGAGATATACAAAAGAAAGCTTCAAATTGTACGAATTCCGTTAAGGTTTCACATCTCAAGGCTTCTTTAAATACAACGAAGATATTTCATTTTTATCTTACTCACGAACTTTCTCTTATTTCTTTTTCCCTAACTTTCACTTTAATTTTATTTTCGATTTTTTTTTTGTCGTTAAGATTTTAAGTCTAGATTTTCTTATTCCCTCCAAGCTCTGTGACACTTCTTCATTGACGCTTCACGATTTTCATTCAGATCAGTACGGAACGGCAGATGGCATTTCTTGGTTATTTTAGGAACACTAAGGGTATTATTGTACGAAAAGAAATGTAAACGTTTACATTTCACAACTTTCATCTCTTTTCAAAAACATAATGTTTAATTATGTTTCTATAGAAGAAGAGCCAGATTCCTCTACTAGGAGTTGCACCTCCATTCCTTAATACTTAAGTCTGACTGCTTAGCGTTGTTTTAAACGGCGTGGTTATTTATTTATTGCATCAACTTCCCTTCTGTTAAAAGTTTCTATGACGTACCTCCTTTAAAGTTTCAGTCAGTTAAGATAAAATTTCAACAATGAGGGAAAACAAAATATGACCGGTCTCCAAAGCTTCAAGTTCATCCGCGTCACGGAGATGTTGAATTTGCGTTTCAGAGTACAGGACATGTGTTTTGTCAAGTTTGATTAGAAATGTACGGCTGTTTTTTGTTGTTGTTTAGTTTTGTTTTGTTTTTTTTTGTTTCTTTCCTACAATTTCCAACGCAAAATTCTTAGGTGTTTTTTTTTTTATTATTACCTAGGGACTCTCTTTGCAGTTTCTTGCGATTGCAAGGCAGAAATTCAATTTAAAAAAACAGGATCATTTTTTTGATCTTGAGTGACGTAATATATTGTCCGGGCTTGTCTAAGCGTTCGAGGAAAGTTAGCGGAAAAAGGAAAATATCATCGCACATCANCACAACTCATAAAAATACTCAGCGATACTACACAACAAAACTCCTAAGATATATGTATTTGAATGACACTGGCTGTTGGTTTCACGAAAGCGTAACGCTTGTATCGAAACAGATCTGTACATGTATGTTGATTTTTATGTTCTGTTAGATCTAATTAACTTTGCAGCGTGCTGTGATCGACTGCTAAGGCTAAGTATATGAGTTCCAATCAGACAAAGCTCGACTGATGCTGATTGTATGCAACATGCAGATAGCTGACTATATTTATTATTGCCGGCGGGCTTCACAAGCAGGCAAGATGAAACGTGCCTGCCCGTTTTTATCGCGCACTCTAAATTCTTCCAAGCTTCTTTGTCGTAAGAGAAAATGTTGCCGGCAATTTTTGCAAAGTTAAATGAAAACCCTTCAATTGGTAATCTTGAAAAGTTTCAGAAGTTTGCGCACACGGGAACGACAAGATCCGCACAACATGAAACAAGTACACTTTTGTTATTGAAATAGGAACGTGTAATTTTTGGGGCTGAGGCCGAACGTTCCTTTTTTTTTTTTTTTTTCTTTTTGTTTGCGAATTTGAGCCTGAAAACGTTCTTAACATGTTCTGTAAGTTGTGCGGTATAGTATTCGGACTTTGCTTAGTACAGACTAGGGCAGTTCGACTGCAAACGGTAAGCTCTTCAGTAGATCATCGTACAAAGCCTCATTTTTTGTGTTATTAAATGTCCCTAGTCCCTAAGTATTTGAGATAATTGTCCTGTTAAGAAATAATTCCTTGGTATTCGGCCGTGACTTAGGCAATTATCGTTTTATCAACTGAGTTGAATGGCCATCGTAAAGAGTTTCAAAGCTGACGAACCGAACGATAGCCTTTCGTCAATGCTTTATTAGCACTTAGCTCTGACGAAGGGCTAATGTTCGAAACGTCAGCTTTGAAACTCTCTGTGGGAGCCATAGTCTCCCTCGCAGCCGTTTTTAGTCTCGTCACGCAACGCTTCTCCCCACAAAGATTCCATGGATTATATTGACCAATTGATTCTTTGAAAATTGAATCTCTTCATTGGTGCTGCTACCAGTATCAAATTGTATTCTTCTTGCATATTGAGCAAAAATGTTAGACTGCTATTAGTCATTATTCAGTGAGATTGCAAATCTTTCAGACTTTTGAATAGATCAGATTCGTATGAAGACATTTATATCAACTTCATTTATATCAGTAGTTGCAGCACCTGGGTACTTCTTGGGTTAAAATCTGGGCTAACAGACTTTTTCAGGGTCCTGTTTTGACATTTTTTGGCTGTAACAGTTTGTCATCATTGGCACATACTTGTCACTAGGCTCTCATATATTGTACATTTGTGTTGTTCCAGACTATTCATAGACTACTTAACACTGCAGTGGCATACTGAATAGACAGTGTGAATTCTCAAAAGCTATGGACTACAGAATTCAATTTCCCATGAGGCAACAAAAAAAATGTTTTGTTTACTGTTTATCTAGCTCTGATACCCCTGAGCATGTTTTTCTTGTGTTTGTTTATCCAGTGATAATTTTGAGGCATCTAAATCAATACACCATTAGAACCAATAGGAAATCTTGCCGGAGTATAACGTCCCTCTTGGCTGATCGTGGTAGAAATATTAGAATTGGCTGTAGCATTAGAGGTACAAGTCGTATTGATCGGATCGAATTGTAAACATTTCGAGGATTTCCCACGGCACGAAGCTTGGATTTCTCCACCGTCGCTCTCAACGCTCAATAAGCGCTTCTTTCTGGGAAGTTCTCGAACCTTGAATATTCCCTTCAATTCATCTTTGAACTCTT